TTTTTTTTTTGGTGGTACCAGGGATAGAACTCAGGATCTTGTACTTGCCAGGCAGGCACTTACACTAGTGAGCTATATCTCTGGCCCAGGACACTCTATTTAAAGGAAGTAACAGTGCAGGAAAAATGATCCTTTGAACCCTAGCCAAAGTACTTCATTTTCACCTGATGTGACGGCACTGGCCTGTAATTCCAGCACTTAGGTGGCTCTAGCAAGAGGATCACCATGAAATCAAGGACATCCTGGGTTACACAGTGAGTTCAATGCCAGCCTAGACTACATAGTGAGACCCTGTCTCACAAAAAGAAAAAAAAAAAATCAAAAATCAAAACAAAACAACCCCAAGTAACTCCATTTTGTAGTGAGGAGGCTGGTGCGAGACTGCAGCACACCACTGCGGCATGACAGTGCTTGCCGAGATCTGCTGAGCTCCCCAGAAGGGTGGAGTGGGAACAGGCGCACAGGATTGTTCCCAAGGATTCTTCTTGTTTTTGATCCTGTTTTTGCTATTTTAATTAAAACCACACAAAAGCAATCACTTAGCAAAGGAAAGGTAGGCGACTTCAGTATTGCTGCAGCCCATAAGCTGTCCCCATTGTGTAAGTAACCCCTAGTAACTCTTTTACTTGCCAAGCAAGACTTTTGAGTAACTGTTCAGACCACTGGTACCCACTCAGTTCTTTGTGTGTGTGTGTGTGTGTGGTACTGTGAATCAAACGCACAACTTCATGCTTGCCAAGTAGGCACTGTGCTGGTGAGCTATACCCCCAGTCTGAGCCCTGCTCTCTCAGTGGCAAAGCAGATGTTTCTTTTACATCTCTCCGGAAAAATTTTTTTGTATTGTTTGTCATTTTGGAGACAAGGTCTTGCTTTGTAGTTCAAGCTGACCTTGAACTTACTACATAGCCCAGGCTGGCCTTGAACTCTCAGTGATTTTTCCTGCCTCAGTCTCCTGAGCAACAGGACTACAGGCATGCCCCACCACACCCAACTTCTCTGAGAAATTTACAGAACAGCTACTAAAATCCAGCTGATTGCAACACCCAGGAAATTCGGTACAAGGTTACCACAGCTTCTGATTTCTAAAGGGTAAGCCCTGATTTCTAAAACGTTGGCAACTAATTAAAAATTATTGGGGGCCTGCAGGTTAGCTCAGTTGTTTAGGTGCCTGCTCTGGCAAATGCAGGCAGACGCAGGAAAACGCAGTTTGATCCCCAGCTCCACATTCCTTACCAGACCTGCCCTGAAGGCAGCCTGAGCCAACGCACCTCTCCCACAAAAAATTATTTAAAATACTATGTAGAGGACTGGGATATTGCTCAGTGGTAGAGTGCTGGCCTACCATGCACAGGGCAATGGATTCAAGACCCAGCCCTGCTAAGCAAAATAAAACAAAACAGACTATGGGCTGGGAAGATAGCTCAGTGGTCTAAGCGCCTACCTGGCAAGCGCAAGGACCTATGTTTGATCCCTGGTACAACATGCTGTGCTGGCCCTGCTGCATAGTGAGACCCTGTACCAAATAAATAAACAAAAGACAAATAATAATAATAATAATGCCTTTTAAAAAAATTGACTAAAACACCATATGGGCCTAACAGTCCACTTGTGGGCCAGTGCCGGCCTCTGCCCTGTATTTATTGCATGGAGACATCCTGAACCCTCTGTTCTGAATGGAATTTTAATCTACCCTCTCATGGCTATAACTTCTTTATACAGTCTTCCAATAAGTTGAACCATTCTCTTTTTTTATGATTTAAGGTAACTTTTAATTCATTTCAAAACCATGTACAGTTACTATATCTAAATGTATTACACTTTAAAAATACTGTGTGCCAGGCATGGCAGCATATGCCTATAATCCCAAAACTGAGGAGGCTGAGGCAGGACTGCTCTGAGTTCAAGGACATCCTAGACTACAAAAGAAGTTCAAGGCCAACTTGCACTGTATAGTGAGACCCTATCTCCAAAAACTGAAAATAAAAAATAAAAATATTGTGAATTCATTTATTTTAGAGATATTTAGGTACTTTCTTTAATTGAAGCCTCTGAGAAAGCATTAGGGGTAAATATAAAGATTTGTCTGTAGCTGGAGGTATAACTCAATGGTGGAGCATGTGCTGCATGTGTGAGAACCTGAGTTTAATTCCCTATACAAAAAAAAAAAAAAAAATTGGCTTTTAAAACCCATCTGGGGCTGGGAGGTTAACCTGGCAGTCCAAGTGCCTGCCTGGTGAGCACAAGGACCTGGGTTCAATCCCTGGTACCACATGGCATGCTAGCCCAGGAACCAGCGAAACTGGGCATGGTGGCATACGCCTGTAATCCCAGCACTGGGGAGGCTGAGACAGGAGGATCACTACAAGTCTGAGCTGCATAGCGAGACTCTGTACCAAATATCAAATGGCCTTTATTATAAATCTCATTTTAGACCTATTTTGTCTAATTAAAAGTTCAATTGTAAGAGTAAAGCCCTGGACCAAGAAGGACCAAAAAGGGTTCCCTGCAACTATGTAGCCCAGGCTGGCCTCAAGCTCATGGCAACCCTCCTACCTCAGTTTCCTCAGTGCTGGGATTACAGGTGTGCAACACCACCCCTAGCCTTCTAAAGAAGTTTAAAACACCAATGTGAAAAAGCCATTATGGTGTGATGCCTGCTACTTTTACCAGGCTATAGAGAGGCAGTGGCAAAAAGGAGGGCTCTTGAGGGCTGAGAGATGAGGGACTTCCACAGTCTAGGAACCTATCTGCTCACAGATGCCTTCAAACTGGTTTAAAATGAGAAACAGGGATGTGAAAATAACCCTTTGTTAAAAATAAATAATAAGGGGGCCGGGGAGATGGCTCAGTAGGATAAGCACTTGACTGGCAAACGCAAAGATCTGAGTTCAATCCCCGGTTCCACAAAAAACAAAAAACAAAAATAAATAAATAAATAAATAAATACATAATAAAGGCCTTAACACTGACATCCCTCTCTGAGTTAAGTATCTAGTGATACTGACACTAATCAAATACCTGGCCAAAACAAAAAAGACCTGATATAAGACATATACCAACCCTGTCAAGAGTGGTGAAAAAAATTCAGGGAACACCCAGAGTAAATGGACCAAAAGCCATGAACAGAAAGAAACTTTTCTCATCCCCATACTTTATGCTTACTCAACTCCAGAAGCAAATGACTTCGGTGAAATTACTTCAAAGGGTAAGAGCACCCCCCCCACAGTGCAAAACAAATTATTCAAATATAAGGCTCCCGGGCCGGGGAGATGGCTCAGTAGGATAAGCGCTTGACTGGCAAACACAAGGATCTGAGCTCAATCCCCCGTTCTGCCAAAAAAATAAAGTAAAATAAGGCTCCCGCATCACTATGACAGCGCCTATGTGCCCTCCCACACTGAGCCCCCATACTTACACACACAAGCAGCAGCGAGGAGACGGCAGGCCAGGTATGGGGGATTACAGGTGGGGAAGGAGGGCTGGATGATGTAGTCAGCAAAGGTAATGGCGATGATGGCCTGACTGGTAGGCTCAACAATCAGCAGTGAGGCCCACAGACGGATAAAGGCAATGAAGCCCCCAAAGGCCTCGAGAATATAAGCATAGCTGGCCCCTGACTTGGTGATGGTGGTCCCCAGCTCTGCATAACAAAGGGCACCCACAACGGAAAAGAGTCCACCAATAGCCCACACAACCAGTGACAACCCATAGGAGGCAGTGTACTGCAGCACGCCCTTGGGAGAGACAAAAATCCCTGAGCCAATCATGTTGCCCACCACCAGGCTAATTCCATTCAGCAGGGAGATCTCCTTCTTCAGCTGCATAGTTTCTGGGGACCCTGCAGGTGGTAAGGTGACATCTTCTTCCACTCTGGGCTGACTGGCACCAGGGAGGAGATGGTAGGTGGGCAGGGGGTTCTCAGTCTCCTTGGCTTCCATGGCAAATAGTTCCAGCACACCCGTGTTTACTGCAACCTGGCAAAGAAAACAAATATGTTTCATCTAGGGCAGGAACCGGTAAAGCTCTGGTTTAGACACCAGGCAGGCAGATACTTGCCTGCTTCCGCTGAGGGACAACATGCCACACATGCAATACAATAGGCTTGTCTAAGTTCCTGCCACAGTAAACAGGGAGATACAGAACTCCACTGCTCCTGAGGAGAAAAAATCATGAAAGCTCACACATGATCTGATGATGACTTCCATCAAAGTATCTGTCTTACTGCCTAAAGTAGCCTGGCACTCACTGGGTCAGTCCACAGCTTACAGATTCTACATAAGCACTGATTTTACTGTCCTTGTCCCAGCTTAAAACCCACAAACCTGCCCTGCAGAGAAGACCTGAGTCCCTGCAGCAGTACAAACCACTCATTTGCCTGAAAGGCCTCTCATTATCCATGCGAAGTAATGCTGTTCACTCAGTTCTAATACAAAGAGGGACTCAGCACTCAAAACATAAAAAAAAAAAAATAAAAAAAAAAAAATTGCCAGTGCCCACCATACACAGATATAGCTGCAACCTCTCACTGGCCAGCAAAGAACATAGGCAGGTGGAGAGGAGGGTTAAGACAACAGGAGTATACTGCTGTTGCAGAAATTGGACCAAGGAGATAATCTTCACAAAAATATACCTTGTTGGCACAGTAGCACATATCTGTAATCCCAGCACTCAGGAAGCTGAGGCAGGAAGATCAAC